ACAGAAGATAACAGAAAACCAGAACCTGGTCTGGTCCAACTTCCCCAAATCAGGTTCTGCTGATGTTAGAGCCTCAGCAGGTGGTGAGATGTGACCAGAGGCTGGGTTCTAGTAGAACCATGGATCCATCCCATCACAGGTGTTGTTCTTTAAGAGTGAAAATCCAAAACATGAAATTCTGAACATCCAGCCGAAACACTTCCTAAAATGTATTTTGGTGTCCTAAGCTGCCCGTACGAGGATCTCCAGGACAGAACATTTCAGGTTCATGTGTCTGCTGATGCTTCGCCCTCCTTTAACATTCAAACTATGAAGACCAACCCAAACACAATAAAGATGTCAGCGTTGCCGAGAGCGACGGATGCATTCCTGTGCACTTAATGCACGACAACATGCGCCGCCAAATCAAACAGCCTCAGAGCAAACAGCAGCAGGAAACTCCGGTTGAGTCTCTGTGGGTCTGGACCTCGTCGACCTTCGCTTGGTTCAAATCAGCTGAACAAACCTCCAACAGAAAAACCTGCTTTTCATGCATTACACCAGAAAACACCGTGTTGTTGCCCCATTTTATCCACGTTAAGGCAGCAAACCGCAGCTCAGAGCAACTTTAAATGCTTTAGTTCAACAGAGCGTCTGCTGGGGGTCCAAACCCGACTGATGGTTCAGAGGTCGCTCCTCTGCAGCTGCATCTTCAACACTGGAGCCACAGCGCCCTCCGGTGGCGCAACAAGCAGCCTCACATTCACCCTGCTGTTAGAAAAACAGTGGAAAATGGAAAAACGTCTTTCTGAGTGTTTCTAGTCATGCAGCTCATCTGTTAACAGTTTCTACAGCAGCAGCTTGAAGCAGGACGTCAGCCAAACAGGAAGAAGACCAACAGCAGCATGTCTGCATTGGTACGCCTGATTATTGGCATTATGACAATACTTAACCACCTTTAGGATAAATATGATTAACACAGAAGGAATCTTTTTCTACATATTACTCAGGAAAAAAAATTAATTACATTAAAAAATAAAAAAAATTTAAAAAGCAGTTTCTGTTTGTTCATAATTTTAAAGTAATTTCAAAATTAAGGCCAGAAAATTTACTGTAGTTATAAAATGTATTTCTAACATTTATTTTACTGTAGATTTTGGTGCCCAAAGTAATAGAATATTAGAAAAAAAAATCTATATAGACGTAAATTATAAATCATCCTTTAAAGGCTTCATCCTGCCTCTAAAATCTGTTCATTGTTCTTCCTTTAGAGTGTTTTGCTGCTTGTACTTTCAGTTTAGTAACGTTTTAAAGGTTGTTGTTGTCAGTTTGACCTCAAATAATAATAATAATAATTAATCAGATTTATTCAGCACTTTTCTAAACACTCAAAGAAGCTTTACACTGTCAATCATTCATTCACACACATTCATTGTGGTGGTGGTAGCTCTGGTTGTAGCCACAGCTGCCCCGGGGCAGACTGACAGAAGCCTGGCTGCCATCCTGCCCCTCCGACCACCACCTCAAACAATCCATTCACACACATCCACACCAGGCAGGTGGTGAAGTGTTCTGGCCAAGGACACAACGACCATGAAACAGGCTACAGGCCGGAATCGAACCGCCGACCTTCTGATCACCGACCGACTCGCTGTACCACCTGAGCCACAGCCGCCCAAATAAAGTAGTAGTAGAAGTATTTCTTCCGTTACCGATATTTTTAGCTCAATATTTAGGTATTTTTGGGCCTATTGATCATTTTACTTGAAGACAGACTGTAAGTTAATATGAAGCTAGTTCACATTAGCAGTGGTTCAGCTCCTCAATACATCCGCATTCAGGCAAGTTTGTGGAAAAATCCACATTATTCTGCAACAAGACACAGTTCAAGGGTTTTCTGTCATAATATGTGAGGAGCTGTGCAGGTTGTAGAAGTCAGTTTGTTGTGCAGTTTAATGACCAGGAAGTCTGGTGGCATCGGGTTTCATCAGACACGCTCTCAACATGTCGGCCTGAATCTCTTACATGCTTTTAATCGCAACCAAAAATAACAGAAGGGAGCTGACGGGACTTTTTAAATGTCTGTTCACAGGCTGTGAGACAAGGAAGTGTTCCTCATATCTGCAGCAGAAGTTCTGAGATAAAATACTTGTGGTTGATGAAACGAGACGACTGAAAAAACACTTCGACATTTCTGAGGACTGGATTTTATGTAACAGGATTATCTGGGTCATCCATAAAATAATCAGTCAGTTCTTCCTCCTGGAGATATATATACATACATATATATATATATGTGTGTGTTGGGCCATTTGAGTCGTTATTTTTTTGAGTGATTGTTGAAACGTTTTGCAGCTGTTAGATCAACCCCCTGAAACCCTGACACTAATTTAGAATACGTTTAAGTTTTTAGTCATTCTGATGAATATTTGGGTCGAGTTGTTTGGTTTTAAAAAGTTTTTGGTATTTCAGACAATTTAGTAGACATCCCATAATACTGATGCTACCAGCTGCTCACAGAGGACATGAACAGAACCAGGTCCAGTGTTCAGACTGAGACACCTGGATGGATGTAGAACTGATCTGGTGTCAGGTTCTACCAGAACTTTTTTTTAGAATAAAAAACACATCTGAGTTCTGGTAGAACCTGACACCAGATCAGGGGCCTGGACCTGTGGTAGTGTTCAAAGTGAACCTTATTCCAGGCTGGTTAGATTTCCTGTCAGCTCGTTAAGTAACCGTCCTCCCAGCCTGCAGTGACGCTGAGCGTCCTGGTGGTGGCGCACCGTCCTGCTCTCAGGATGTAAACGTTTATTTCACTGACGGGTTTTAAGAAGCGTCCTGCTGCTGCTGATGAGTCACTTCTGTCTGAGTGACTGAGTGCAGCAGCTGCAGCGTCTATTTATAAAGATCCTCCAGCAAACAGCACAAATCAACACAAACCTGCGTCCAGAGTCTCACATGAACTCAACTTCCTCTTGAAGCTGCGTTCAACACGTAG